TTCTCAATAAAGGTTGCTGTTTGCATACCCGCTTGTCGCGTCCTTTCCCTTCGCTCCAAGATGCAAAAGGGACCCTAAGGAACTTAGCTTTTCCTAGCTCTATGCTCTCTAGATGGATAAGATATCAATCTATCTGAATGTCCTGCAGGCTGGAAATTTAGAATTTGACAAATCCAGTGCAGAGGTCTCCAAACTTGGGAATTCTAAGACCTGTGGACTTCAACTTCCAGAATCCCTCAGTCAGTCATGTTTAGCCATTTCCCCACACTGGCTGGGGCATTCTGGAAGCTGAAGTCCGACAAGTTTTAAAGTTGCCAAGTTTGGAGACCTCAGATCTAGAGGATGTCAAATAATACCCAGAAAAGACTTTTGCTGCTACTAAATTCCTTAGGGTACTTGGAATGGGGGGAAATTGTTTAGAACACTGAAATTGGGTGACTGTTTGCTCAGTAAAATTTTTAATTTAACTGTGCAAGTGATTAATCACATTACACAATAGATCAGTTGAGTAAACTACTTACATTCCAGTCAATGGTAGCAAAAAAGGGATGGCGTTTAATTTCTTCAACTCCATCAAGGCCAGCACCTGCCAAGGTAATGAAAAGAAGACACAGAGGATGTCAGACCACAAACTTCTTCTGAGTTTGTCTTTTATAACTCTGAAGAGAAGTAGGGTGGCAGAAACAAGATCAGAGGCTTTGGGAATGTTGAAATTGTTGAATTATTGTTAATTGTTGCACTGAAGTATTCAGAGTATTACAGTTAATTTCCTCCAAGTAGTAAAGCAAAATATAATAATCATTGGATTACTGACTGACTACTTAGAATGAGAGAATATATTAATATATTGATAAAAACTAAACAAATAACACGTACATTAAGGGCGGGACTAGTTCTATTGAGCGCCTAGTTCAAATTTGCACATCAAGTTACAAAGCTCAGTAGATAGTTTAAACCATCTCATAGCACATTCTACATTTACAGTAAATGGATAAAATGGAGTGGAACTAGTGCCCTAATGTACAAAGCTTTGCCTTTTTCAAAGTACAAACAGCTCATTTGCTTTATACATAAACAGATATTTCTAATCCTTATTTTAATATTCAAGCTATTAAAATATTTAAGAACACATTTAATTTTAGATTCTCCAAATTTAGATTCTTAGCAAATTTAGAAGGATAATCTAGTTGAAAGTTTGCAGCACGCATGGAATTTTTATGCTTGTTGCTTTTTGTTCAGAAAGTTTAATTATTCAAAGGCTAAAAACAACAAAG